TAGGAAGAGGAAATGAATCAGGTTTGGTAACAGCGTTAATGGAACCTCTCCAGAGCACCTTGACTTTCCGACTGGATTTTACATGTTTTATCTGCAACTCCTCCACAACCTGTGCAAACACTTTTGAAGTAAAATTCGTTCCTTGGTCTGTTTGAATAACCTTTGGAAGCCCGAAAGTAGAGAAAAACTTAATTAGTGCATTTATTACCAGTTTTGCTTTCACCGTGTGTAGTGGAATTGCCTCCGGGAACCTTGTTGCTGAACACATTATCATGAGGATGCATTGGTGGTGTATCCGATTTAGTTTTTGGCAGGGGACCCACACAATCCAATATCACTTTTTCAAACGGCTCGCCTATTACTGGAATAGGATGTAACGGAGCAGGTGGGATTGGTCTGTTAGGTTTCCCCACCATCTGACATGTGGTACAGGTACGGCAATATGCCACCACATCAGCTTTCAAAAGAAGTCGCGCAACACCCGATGATAAGTTTTGTTCACCCCGAGATGTCCAGTCATGCTCCATGGAAGGAGCCAAAACTCCTTCGGCCAGTTTAACGCGGCCGCTATATGCTCAAAAGCATTAAAATAGGAGTCCACTTTGGCCTCACGAAACGGGGGAACCAGTTTAACGTGCTTAGTGATGTCAAAACCTGTCGAGACAGCGGTGGATCTACTAGGATGACTAGAGGCAGATGTGGAGGGCTTTCGCTCCAGCTCCAAAGCTCTGACATGGAGGTGCATTGTTTGTACCTCAAGCTTTTTAGCACGGGTTTCCACCTCCCTTATACGGAGGGTCAAACGGAGATCCACCTCCGTATAAGGTGAGGTGGACACCATCAGAGTCCACCTCAGCTGCATCAGACTCCACCTCAGCTGAGAGCACGTTAACAGGCCCTTTGGCATCCGGCTCAGTCTCCGGAACCACCTTCACACCCCCACCGCCAAGCTGCCTTCGGGGCAGAAAGGATGCCTCGCTCCACCAGCCCTGCACACAAAGCGTCCTTAACCTCTGCTTTACGGGCACTATAGGACACTTGAACATCATAAAAACTAGCAATAATGAGCAAATCCGCTTTCCTGCACTTCACCATTTTATCCCATGAAGGCGAAGTAACAAAATCATCCAAAGAAAACTCCATAATCCCACACACCTACTATTCCCACACCAAGAAGACTGCCAACCAGACCAAAACACACGAAAACAACCGCAGAAGAAGGCAGAGGATGAGCCCCCAATTCATGTTACGACCCGTCTAGGGCCAGGCAATATCATGAGTGAGGCACTCGCTTCCCCCCCAAGACCCAAGCAGCCACAGGAAACAAATCCGGTCGTTACAATGTGGTTTATTTACAATGTGGCTGGCAACTGTTCAATTCTGTAGTCGGTAACCGTAGCCAGTCTTGTCAATGATGTCATTGAGGGGGTTCAGGCCTATGCAGAACAGCAGTGGGGACAGATCCCGCACTTGATGGTGAGTGTTGTCTACCACATCCCCATTGAGCTCCTGATGAAGGCTCTTAGGGTCCTATTGATCTTGTATAGGTCTAGGCAGTCCAGTATCCAGCTGTGGGGCATTGAGTCATAGGCCTTCTTGTAATCAATCCAGGCAGTGCACAGGTTGGTCAGCCTAGTCTTGCAATCTCGGGCAAATACTCAGTCTACACATCTGGTATTCTTTCCAATCCCTGTCTGTGCCCCGCTCATGTATTGAGCCATGTGCCTGTTCATCTGCCTGATAGGAGCTTCCATGTGGCACTGAGGCAGGTTATTGGTTGGTTGTTGGAGGGGACCGGTCCCCTCTGTGAGTCCTTGAGGATCAGGACTGTCTGGCCTTCGGTAAGCCATTCTGGGTGTCTCTCGTCAACTAGCAGCTGGTTCATTTGTGCGGCCAGGTGCTCATGAAGTGCAGTCAGCTTCTTCAGCCAGTAGGTGTGTACCATGTTGCGGACTGGTGCTGTCCAACTCTTTATACTGGAGACCCTTTCTTGGATGTCTGGTACAATCCGTCTGTTGATCTCCTGTTCCCTTCTCCTGTCACTCCCAAAGACCCCGAGACATTCAAACTCCTCCACTTGGGGCAGGAACTCGTCCCTGACCCGGAGTGGGTATTCCACCCTTTTCCGGCTGAGGACCGTGGACTCAGATTTGGAGGTGCTAATTCTCATTCCCACCGCTTCACATTCGGCTGCAAACCGTTCCAGTGCGAGCTGGAGGCCCTCACCCGATGAAGCCAACAGAACCACATCATCTGCAAAAAGCAGAGATGAGATCCTGAGACCATCCAAGTGAAAGCCTTCTGCCACTTGACTACGCCTAGAAATTCCGTCCATAAAAAGTTATGAACAGAATCGGTGCCCTGGCAGAGCCCATCATCCACCAGGAACAAGGAACACTTATTGCTGGCTATGCGGACCAAGCTTTTGCAATGGTTGTATAAGGACTGAATGACCCGTAGCAATTGGCCAGACACCCCATACTCCCAGAGCACCCCCCACAGGACCCCTCGAGGGACATGGTCAAATGCCTTCTCCAAGTCCAAAAAACACATGCACCCTAAATCCTTGAGAGGATGAAGAGCATATCCAGTGTTCCACAACCAGGACGAAAACCGCATTGTTCCCCTGTATCCAAGGTTTGACTAACAGACGGACTCTCCTCCCTAGCACCCTGGCATAGACTTTCCGAGGGAGGCTGAGGAGTGTGATTCGCCTGTAGTTGGAACACACCCTCCGCTCGGGAACTCGGGGCGGACCTTATGCATCTCTGGGGCTCTGCCACCAGTGGCAGGTTATCCCCTTTGTCCCCAGACTCTCCTTCCTACACGGAAGACATGCCAGTGGGATTAAGGAGGTCCTCGAAGTATTCCTTCCACTGCCCGACAATTTTCTCAGTCGAAGTCAGCCGCACTCCACCCGCACTATACATAGTGCAGGTAGATCACTGCTTTCCCCTCCCGAGTCGCCTGACGGTTTGCCAGAATCTCTTCGAGGCAGTCCAAAAGTCTTTTTCCATGGCCTCTCCAAATTCCTTCCACACCTTCAACCACCACCCGCATTGCGTTCCGCTTGGCCTGCCAGTACCTATCAGCTGCCTCCAGAGTCCCACAGGCTAACCAAGGACTCCTTTTGCAGCTTGGTGGCTCCCCTCACCTCTGGTGTCCACCATTTGGTTCAGAGATTACCACCACAACAGGCACCAACTACCTTGTTCAGCATCTCCATTGCAGAAGCCGCTGCACTGAGCTGTGGCTGCATGGTCCATTCAGACTCAATGCTGTTGAGGATCTCACAGACCTCTGCTAGGCATTCCCACCACACCACCACTGTGCGTTTAGGTGCACCAGGTCTGTCCATTGTCCTCCCCCTGATCAAACTATCAATTGACAGCTCAGCCCCTCTCTTTACTTTTAGTGTCCAAACATGTGGCCTCAGGTCTGGTGATACAAACAAAATCAATCATCGACCTGCTGTTTAGTGTGTCCTGGTGCCATGTGCACTTATGGACATGGTGTTTGTTATCGCCAAACTGTGGTTTGCACAGAAGTCCAACAACAAAACACCTCTCGGGCTCAGATCAAGGAGGCCGTTCTACCCAATCACGCCCCTCCAAGTCTTGCTGTCATGGCCCACGTGAGCATTGAAATCTCCCAGTAGGACAACAGAGTCCTCAGGGGGAGCACCCTCCAGTACCCCACCCAGGGACTCCAAGAAGGCTGGGTACTCTGAACTGCCACTCAACGCGTAAGCACAGACGACGGTCAGGATCCATTCCCCGACCCGGAGGCGAAGGGAACAAACCCTTCATGAGACAATATTGCACTAATTGCCACTTTTAGTCTTGTACTGCTCAAATTTGTACTGCTGCTCACTACTGCCACTTTATCTCATGTGAAATTACATTGTCCCCCCTCCGACCTACCTCAATACATGTCACTTTTCTATTTCTCTCTTTTATGTCTTTCTGTAAGTATTGACAGGAAGTTGAGCCGCTGGTACTCTGGTGCAGTCAGAACAATCTGGAGCTGAACATGTTTAAGACTGCAGAGATAATAGTGGACTTCAGGAGACATTAACATCAACACTGCTCCCCCTCACCATATCAGACCGCCTGGTGTCTACTGTGAAGATCTTCAGGTTCCTGGGTATTACTATCTCCCAGGACCTGAAGTGAGAGACTAACATCTCCTCCATCCTCAAAAAGACCCAGCAGAAGATGCACTTCCTGAGACAACTGGAGAAGTGTAGTCTTCCACAGGAGTTGCTGATCCAGTTCTACACTGCAGTCATTGAGTCTGCCCTGTGCTCCTCCATCACAGTCTGGTATGGAGCAGCCACTAAAAAGGACAGGTGCAGACTGCAGTGGACTTTACGGGCAGCAGAAAGGGTCATTGGAAGCCCCCTGCCCTCCATCCAGGACCCGTACCTCTCAAGAACCAGAAAACAGGCAAGGGAAATCATCTCAGTTTCTTTCCCCTTGCCATTTCCCTCCTAAACCGTTGAACTGTCACATTGCTTCACACTGCCAGATTGCAACTGCAGTTTATGTACACTCTGTGGTATTCATCTCTGTAATCCTGTATTTTCTGTATATAAGGATTTAGACATTTTTATATTGTGGTTTATGTATATTGTTCATTCTGTCGCTCATATATTGTGTATTTTACTTTGTTGTGCTTGAGAGACACCAGCGACCGGAACCATATTCCTTGTATGTGTTTGTGCATGCATACTTGGCTAATAAATGCGATTCGGATTCTGATCATTTTTTCCCCATTACTTTTATTTCTTGTGGGCTCTCCTTTCTTCATTCATCTTTTTCTTTTAGAAAATATAAAACATCATGTTTTGCTTTTTTTTTTTTTTAAATATACAAAAGTGTATATTCAAAAGGTTTTGTCTTGCAGTTATGCATTAAGACTACACTTTAAAATTATAAATGTTAAATCACCAAGATACAGGACCAAATAAAAATATTACCTTTGTAATACACACATACCTTTGAGTAAAAGACCGGATAAGCCACTCTAGATCGGAAATTTTGAATGGAAAAAACACAAGATGTGTGGTGTTTTCCAAATGTTTGAAACTCCTTGGATACATCACATGGTATGTTGTTTTGTTTCCAACATCTCTTTCAAAGCCTTTTGTGGGCCCAAGGTTTATTCTAAAAAACACAGAGGATATATTGTTCATATTATCATCTATTGGATGATATATGTAGAATGAACGTCCATACTGGGGAAAGAAAATATCTTATTCAATTGAGTTTTAAAGGTTTTAGCAATGCTTACAGATATTTAAAGATAACACATGCATGAAGATTTCAAAACAGTATGTTCTACTCTTACCTTATGACAATATCATGAAAGTCTATCAGTGGCCCATAATGTGATCCATTGAGATTACCAGAATTCCCAACCACAGCACAAGTTCTACAAAGGTCAGGGCTGGATCTTGTGAAACTGACTTTGGTTGGGAAGATCTGAAAAACCTTGTCCACTGTTTTATTGTAGAAAGCGAAGTTGCGTCTGTCTGTCTGTATGCGCTGACATAACAAAAGTAATTAATTAATTTGTTGAGTTCACTAGCTTTTTTGTACCGATTATTCTGAGGGTATATATATATATTTTTTTTTTTAAAATAAATAAATAAATAAAAAAATCCCTATTAGCACTGGAAATGTAGTTAAAAAGATGATAACGACTTTTCTTTGAAATCAGTAAGAAAGTATACAGACCTACATACATACGTTTAAAATACAGAAGTTAACATTTACCTTCCACCACTTAAATGTATCATCTGAGATATTGTTTGTGGGTGATAGAAAGGGCTCAGGAGATTCTTTCATAAGTTCACTAAGCCATGGGTCATATTCCATTAAACATTTGTTGCAGGCACAAACACTTTCATTCTGAGGGAGGAAGAAATCCTGGTACACATTCAAAATCCATGAAGCTCTAGAAAAGACTCCAATGGCAGTGGCACACAGCAAGACAAAAGAAACGAATAGTTTCTTCTGAAGCATCTTCACACCTTGATATTCTTGAAAGAGGATCTGATCCGTTCTGTAGATACATTACAAAACACAGGATTTAATAATGTGATAAGACATGACCATACAGAATCACGTCATCACGCTGCAAACAAGACCAAACTGTTTATTATCACAATAATACTCAAAACAAGACCTTAGTCTTAATGATAGGATGCAACTAAATGATAGGATGAAATTAATGTCTACAAACATGCTTGGACTAATTGTTACTTCCACATCTCCAAAAGTTAATTCTGTTCATCTGGACATAGCGTTTTCAGTGGGAGAAACATTTCGTCACTCATCCAAGTGACTTCTTCAGACTCAGCTGACTGCAGGTTTCCCCACTCTTATAAGAAGTGCATTTGCACAATGACTGAAACCGGCCCACTGAAGGAACAATGGGCTGGCAGGTCAGTTCCTTCATCATAATTACGAAAATTCTCATGACCATTGATCAACAACCACTGATCAAAGCCCACTGATCAATGGCCATGAGCACCATTCACAGAGAGTTGGGGAATTGGCTGCAATCACAGCATTGTATGATGGCAAAATATATACCCTTAGGCCCCCTCCTCAATTCAGAGATGGTCTTTCCCTTTTTACATAAATGGCGTCCTTGACTCGCTGCTAAAACCAGCATTCCTCCTCCAAAGGTTGTTTGGTTTCCCCGATATATAAATCCTGGAAATCCTCCTGGCACTTAACTCATTCACTGCCAGCCATTTTCAAATCAGGTAACTCCCCACTGCCAGGGTTTTTGAGCATTTTCACTCATTTTTGAAGAGCCACAGAAAACTGTGTGTTATGATCATATAAACGCTGAACCTACCAAAATGAAAAACAGACTCTCTTCTTTCATCCAAAAAAAAAGCTTGTTTCTACCATTTTCCATTCGTTAGTAATCAGCTGTAGAAGAGAGGTGGGTTCCACCAAAAATGCCTGTTTTGACCAAAAAAAGGGAGAAAACGAGCTTTTTGTGAAAAAATACATTTCAAGCAGAAAAGTGCCTTTGACACTAATATTTCTTGCTTTGTGACACCTCTAACATATAAAATAGTTTTTCACTTCTATAAAACAGAAATAACACTGAGAAAGGTTAGGTTTTATCAAAACAATTTATTTACAAATATATGAAAAAATAAAATTCACTGACAAGCTGCCCGAGGTTGTATTCTAGCCCCTCCCATTGAAAAACGGAATTGACGTCTATAGACGTCAATGGCAGTCAACGTAAGTTTTTCAATTGACGTCTATAGACGTCAATGGCAGTGAATGAGTTAACAGGGTACACTATGTGTTGGAGTCAAATTGTTAAATGTTGTCATTGTGTTTCTTAAATTTGTAAAGTCTTAGTTCAAGCAGCATGATCAAAGTCATTCCTTTGTCTCTGACCAACTCTCCAGCTACTCTGGAGGAGGCTTTATTATAGGCACATCCTATCTGAAAGATCTGTTTCTTGTGTCGTAAGCTTCCTGCTTTTCAAACAAACACACACACACACACACACACACACA